CCTGGCGGGCTTCTACTGGGTCCATGTGGAAGGCTCATACGACCCTAAGGGCCAGGATCATCATCAGCACTCATCACTCAATTTGGGACACCATCTATCTCATGTGGGCGAGCGCAGGGAGGGTTGACATAGACATCGCTTCTGTTCTCAGGATATACACCGGCTGCTGCGAGGCTGCAAAGGCCGATCTTTTCAAAGTCCCAATGATGGGAAGCTTCCTGAGGTCTCTCAACGCAATGCCTATCGATCGCCGGTGTAGGAGGGGCCTCGTTAGTCGTCGTTTTCTGCTGGAACTCGCTAGGTTTCGCCCGTCGTGTCCACAACGGTTGCGACCGCGTGTCCTCTTTGACCGCGCGCGTGAGCCAGGTTTAAATTATTTCTTCAGGCCCAGAAGCCCGGAGTGCGGCGAAGAGGAATATGAGAGCTCGAGCCCTCGATGCGAGGTACCCGCCAATGATAGTGTTCCCGACGGCTACATGTAGGCTCATCAGCCCTCGATCCTTCCCCAGCGCATCGCCCTTCTAGGCAACAACGGACGCCAGCTGTCGGCTTTCAAGGAGGGAGCTTTCGACTGCGGCGTGCCGGTGAGTTTAAGCGTCTCCGTAGATGCGCATCAGCCTACGCTCTTCGCGATATAATGACCCTTATTTCAGATACAGCCGGTGGGGCTCGAGTATCCTGCGCGGTTCAACGACATCTTCGCCCTGAAGAACATGGCTTGGGTCTTCTACTGGAGCTGTTGCCAATTCGTCAACTTTCACACTGTCCGTTTCATGCCCGTATACACTCCTACAGAAGCCGAGATTGAGGACCCTGCCCTCTACGCTCGAAATGTGCGGCGTGAAGATCTGATTCATTCTCAGCTGGATGTGGCGTCTCCGCTGGTCAGGTCCGTACTCTGATGTGCACCAGTTTGCACCGACAACCCGTGCCATACGTCTTCGAGGACGAGCTCCTGCGCATAGTGTGCCGGGACAACTTCATGCGGGTGCATCAGCATCGTATCATGATGAAGCAAGTCTATGAGGAGTTCGGCGTCAGCATGCACTATGTTGATCATTGGGTGAACGCTCTTGACGGTTTAGGTGTTCGGTAGAGTCGACGGTTCGCCTTTCAGGTCAAGATGTTGCACGGCTTGGATTCTGATGGTGATGGTCTGCTCTCTATTGAGGATGTCCTCAGCAAGCTGTCTCTGAGCGATGACTCAAAAGAAGCAGACGCCTTCAAGCGGATATGGCCCGCGCTCAAGGTGGATGAAAGTGCCGACCCCAAACTTGAGGATATACCTGCACCCTACGACAAACCCCTCAGAGAGGAAGGGAGCTGGTGAGACACGGAACAGATGCTTCTCATGAAATTGAGTTGAATTTGCTACAGATCTGACTGCTAGGCTTACTGCATCCTCGTGTCCGTGTGTTCGTATAGGTACGATTCACTTTCGGGTGGTATTCCTCCTGTGCCATCCCGTCCATTAGACGAGATACCCACAGAGCTGCTTGCCATTCACGACATAATACCGGCATTCGTTGTAATTTTCAGCTTGAAAGAAGAGGCAGTGGAGAAGTGAGTTCGAAGATAGTGGCGACAGAACGCGGCGATCTACCCTCAGTGGTTGGAGGAATCATCGTTGTGTTTTTGATCAGACGGCGAGAAGGGCTCAATAACCTCTTCCGGGCAGTATTCGCGACTTCGCCGGAGGACTTTACAACCGATGAACTCCGCGAGCAGGTAATGAAGCTACTTCCTCCTCAGAAGCGTTGTGAAGTGCCAATCCGCTCTTCAGTTGCGTGAGAAGCTTCAAGAGTATATGCCAACCATCGCTTCTCCCCCGCAAAGACACGGCTACGAGAATGGCGAAGGCACGAACAACCGAAAAGATTGAGTGCTTGATCTCTTGGAATAAGACACTGTAACTGTCGTCGATTTATGTATTCACTGTGACAATTGTGGCACTTTTCCTGAACCTCCCTCATCCTATAAGGCTCGTTTTGGTTCGAAACTGGCTTGTGTCAACAGTCGCTCGAACGATCAGTCACTCAACCGGTTTTTTGACGAGACAGTCGTCCGGCCTCAGCGGTTACTTGGGGTGAGAGGGTGCGACAATCAGACCAGTAAGGGGCGAACCCTACTAGGTACGCGCAGCAAACAATCCCAGCGTTCGCAGCGAACGGTTCGCTGTGTTCGGGAGTCTCCCGACGGGAGAACCCCAGGATACCTAAGCTCATCAGACCAGGGAATTTCGCCCTTGGCAAGGTATGGTAGTGGAATATTGGCCGTCAGTCGCACGATGAGCGTGAATAGTATGATACTACTGGTATCGAGAATTATCGATTCAACATGACGGTGTAACGAGCCCACCTTCAGAAGGTGACCTTTTTGTTGAATTTTGCGCAAACTTTGCGTCGCACAGGGATTTCCAGGCGTGCTTCAGAGCGCTGAGAACTTATCATGTTAGCGACAGGGGAGACAAGCAGTCCTAGAAGATCTAGTAAAGCTAGTAAATGTAGTAGCTTGTAGTACAAGCTGGCCCCACCCTGAGAGACTCCATTGCCTGCTGAAGTTTCAGTTCAGCCGAGTGATGGGTCAGCTCTTCCATAAGAGCCTCAGTTAGATTCTGGAATGAGAAAGCAGAACCGTCCGTGGAACCGGTGAATCAAAAAACCTAAAAGTGTGTCGGGGCCGACGTGAGTCACGTCGGAGATATTGTAGACATAGAATCTACGTCGCGGCATCCGCTTGATAGCTCCTTCCAAGATATCATCCTGTGGTCGAGAGTCTCGACTGGAGACCTATACGGTTCCCAGTCAGCAGTGCCGTATCGGCACGGCCTGAGCTAGAGAGGTGACGCCTGTAGTCTCTAGCGCCCAGAACAGAGCACTGCGACTCAACGATGGTCACCATGGACGCCTTCAGAAATACATGGGCAGATACATATGGAGCATCCTCTGTCCCGGCGAAGATCGATGGCCTCTTGTACATCACCTCCCATGTATCACACATGGCAATACTCGAAGCAGAGGCTTCGTCCCTAGGGCTCGAGTACTCTCAAGTTGGGAGTTCAGCGACGAGCAGTGTAAGCTGTTGGCTGGGGGTCTCGCTTTCAGCGATGAGCAGTGCAAGCGACGTTTGTCGGGATAGCGGCCCGAAAGCATATACACGATACCCAATCCAAGGACTTCTACATTTCCTGGCCACCTCGGGCAGAGAGTAGGTCACGTACTTTTGGATGTCGCCCATCAGATCTGACGGAGTTTCGCCAGGAGAGAGCCGTCTCTCACGCAGTAGACACCACAAGTCGTGTATGCCTAGCCCAAATCGTTCGCGAAGAACGTCGGCTCCGAGCTGGAATGCCCTCGTATCGGAAATGCCACACCTGACGTTGTTCGTGAGAGCGTTGTAGGCTGGACCGCGAGTGTTCAAGAGCAGATACTGGTACCATTGCTCCTTCGGGACATTAAGGAGGCGGAGATGGGCGTCCATGCGGCTGAGGACTTCGAAGACCTGTAGACTGCCGCTCTGAGTACCGGTTCCGTGGAACGTCTCACCCAAGTCGAAGGACTTGGGCCAAGTCACTTAGCTGTCTTCCGCGGCTGGTCGGACTGCTCTGCAGGCTTGAGGACATTAGGACTCGGGGCCAGTTTTGGTCTTATCGGGGTTGTCCGGGTCGTCCTCAACCTCGACGGACGACGTGCTAGACTTCTTACGGCCATCTGCTTCCGCCTCCTTGTCCTTGGCATGATCCTCCACGACGTCGCCAGAGATTACACCTTCAGCACCTGCCACGGCCACGATCGCGTCGTAGTCCTCATAGTCGCAGTCGATTTCATCGGACATTAAAACGGATGTCCCAAGAGGAACTGTAATCATGTTCGGTATGAGTCTGGGCACCATGTGATACTTCCCGACTGATCGCAACCGAGTAACGGAGATTAGCAGTATGATGTGACAGTCACATTGTGACTAATAATCCCTTAGGCTAGCGATTAACAACCTCGATCGATTAGGGACAAGCGAGAATTACTGTGTCACGCGTCGCACTGCACGCGCACGCACGCACACACCAGTACAAGTCGTGTCGTACTCCTCGCCAGTGTATTTCCCTACCCAGTCGGCAAGATCGTAAAATGCATCCTCTCTTGGCAGCCTCGGCTCCCCGACACTCTACAGAGGGCCACCTCTGGCCGATACGGGATAGTCAAAAGAGTGCTTCAATACTTCGAGCTTCCCCTCACCGACGATAGCCCCAGCTCCCAGAGCTTGGGAGCCAAGCTGTACTCTGATAGCTTCAACCATTCGGGGATGTGCCACGTTTCCTCCTCGAGGTCAACCGTCTGGAAGGTTGGGAGGGAATCCATCTTGAGGTCGGAGGGAATGACGTCCTCAGTCTTGGCAGCTTCGACGAGCATGTTGAGGAACTTTCAGGTTCCAGGTTCCGAGTTCGAGTAGGAAGTTTTCCTTCCTCAAGAATCCACACCACGGGGAGATACTCTTTTCTAAAGAAATCGTCTAATTTCTAAAGATGGTTCTGCCCAGCAATACGCTTCCAACCCTTGGATAACCTATGTGGTAGACGGCCACGGAACTCACCGAGACCATGGAATGGGGCGCATTGTCAGGTTGCTGGAATGGTCTAGTTGGTTATGACGACTGCCTAACACGAAGTAGGTCCCGAGTTCGATTCTCGGTTCCAGTATTGCATCGTTATTCGAAATATTCCTCAGTTCGCGAGCCGAGTTGGGGTTGCTACCACATCTTCCGTTGCGCGCGGCTTCCGGCGACAGATACTGAAGCCCCGTAACCTCTGACAGAGGTCCTCTGTCAAGAAAGTCGTGGTGTGGCTTCGAGGTCTACCACCTAGAACTGCGCTTGGGTGGCGATAGGTCTCGAGTTCGACTCTAGACTCAGCCCATGATTCTGCTGTTGAGCACGGCTCAGTGGTAGACAGACCCTTCAGTCCACGGAGCTCACAGGAACCACGGAATGAGGCACCTTTTCAGCTTTCTGAAATGGTTTAGTTGGTTATGACGACTGCCTCACACGTAGAAGGTCCCGAGTTCGATTGTCGGTTCTAGTACAGTATTGCACCGTAGTCCGCCTATTATCCATAGGCGGCCTCTGACCATAGCACGGTCGGCGCCAGATGCGTGATCGGCCAGTGCGGCACATGCGCATAGAGAGTCATGATCGTAAGCTCCCCGACTTCAAACAGGTCTGGCAACTCAACGCAGGTATTGCTCGTCTGGCGGCTTCAGACAACAGATTCAAGTTGACTCCGTCAACTCCAGGGCAGCCTAAGCATTTTCGGGTATATTTAGGATTTATGGTGCATTCCCGAAAATTTCCGTCAGAACGTTTAATGAGACTGAGACTGAGCTCAGGGATCTACCATGTAAACTTCACAACTCACCTCGATCATCACCACCTGAATATCGTTCTCAAGCTCGAGCTACGAGCCTCGTGGGCCTGCTACCATGATCTGTCTCCCGCCGCCTCATAGTGACTATGTTTACTGGAAGCAAACAACCCCAAGTAGAAAGGCTCTGTTTTCGCTAGCAATGGTATAATAATGAGAACTATAATAATGGGACGGAGCAGAGAATAATTACATGCCAATTCGTTGGCGTTGATTAATAGTTCTACCAAGGACGTCACGCTCTTCTAACACCAGCGTGGACAAAGGCGGTCGCAATGATTCATCATACGTTTGTCGAATACTAGACGAGGGAGATCGGTAAGGACCTGAGGAAGACGCTGGAGTGCGGTATAATGCATGGCTTTGCACAACTTACCGTCTGCCTTCTGATCTCCCCTGCATATTGGACAGACAAAACTAGTGCAGTCAGGAGGGACACGGGCACACTTCTGGTGGTACCACTTGTCGCAGACATCGCAGGTGATCCAGCTGTCCGTGTCCGTGTGCAAAGTCGTGGGAATGTTACAGATCTCGCACATATCAGTGTAAACCTGCCGCATGCAAGAAGGATGGCTGCCGGAGAGCATCCGGGCAACTCACCGTCATGAAATGCCGACAGCACTCAACGAGGTAGAAGACTCTCATCTGCAGAGTAGACTGTATATAGTCTTCCACAGGGGGAGCAATGACGACATTTTCGGCTGCATGAGGGAGCACTGGCGTGCCGGAAGGAAACTCCGGTGACTCGAAGATGTCTCGGCACCGCTGACCATGACCCGACCAATACTCCTGAGCCATAAAGACATCTGATACTCGATTAGGTGGAAGCCCTACCAGGGTGCGGCGGTCTCCGACCCACGGCCGTGGCCGCGACTTCTCCGGTTTCAAGTTGTGCACCAAGCACTGCGCACGTACACGCCAGTCGAAGGCTGCCTCCACAGCGGTCACCACACGGGACTTCAGTCGTACGCTCAATGGAAGACTGTCAACTTGCAGAAGCACCTCCTGACATCCACAGCGATACTCAACCGTAAAGCTGATGCTGCGTCCAACTTCCATGGCACTGGACGAGAAGCCGGATCCGATAATCGAGCGGGGAGCATTCTCCTCAAATTCTCACCAATAAGTCGTCTATGGTGGTCTGTTGCACGCTCTTGGCTCCATTCCCTCCTTCTGATTTCTCCTCTTGGTCAGAGCCCCCAACCAGGGCTAGCTCCCACGCTTCGTACTCATGGGAAGCCGACACCAGTGGGTTCGACCGAGTGGCTGAAAACCGATCATGGCATCAGGCGATGTGCGAGGAAGATGCCCTCACCAGTAGGATTGGGTAGAAGAACCGAATGCCGCCGGAGCATGTCACGAACACTCTCCATCGTCCAGGCGATCAGCCACCGCAGCTCCTCGACCTCTTCCATCCTCAAACGGACTCTCGGGGCGAACGCCAACACTGTAAGAGCCTCCGACACTGACCACACACAGCTTAACGGACCGAGTACAACAACACAGGCCGCACTCACTCGTCGATTTTGCTTTCTTAAGATGCGCGCGAAAGTTGAGCTTCTCGGCCTCTCGCTGATCCGGCGTCATGCCCTGCAGAGCCTGACCAGTGAGCCGGTGCTCCTAAGCCGCCTACCGCTCTCGACTCACCACTCGCTGCTGCCGCACTGCTTCTTCTACCGGCGCCCGGGTATGGGACACTGGCGGGGCATTCCATGGCGCCATGTCGATTATCCGCAGACAGAGAGGCAAGGCGTCGACGACGGGCTCAGGCTTCTTCGCCTTCTTTGCGAGAGCTGCCGTCGGACCCGGAAGAAGAGCGGTGTAGAACGGTAGGGGGAAGGCGTAGTCCGGGGGTTTATGGCGTCCCGCTGGCGGAAGGCTGATCTGGTCCCCGCAAGACTCGAGGGCCTTATCGATCACGCGATCGATTTCCGAATCCTTCTCCACTCGGCCGGTAGAACTTGTACTTCCGCACGTTTTGAGGACCAAGTTGATACGATCCTGGTAGGCCTCAGCGGCCGCTACTTCCCGGGACAGCCGCCGTAGCAGCTCTGCATCGCAGGAGAAGTCCATGGTCTCTAGCTCTGACGTGAGAGTGCCGATGACCTCCGCCTCTGCTGGGCTCTCATCCGACTAAGAACGAAGCTGTACGGGGAAATTGTCTAGAGAAATTCCAGAATGCCGAAGGTGCGAGAGAAATTCTTAACACCGCAGAGTATAGTTGGGGTATCGGCACCGAGGAATCCTCAGCGAGAATGAACTAACGGAGCAACTACTTCAACTGTTCTCCGAATATCTGACCTCTGGGCCTTTGCGATCAATTCAGTAGCGTCTTAGACTAAGCCCTCTCGGAGTACTAGATTTGCCCATAAGAGCTCACCATTGGGGTGCGCTGCTGTTGCTTCGATAGGTTGGCGGCTGGAGCTCGGACGCTCTGGCATATCTGTCTGGCTTCCTCTAATGTACAGTTCTCCTTCTCGAATGCTTCCCGCATACGCCTGTTGTCGTTGCGCGCCCGCAGCTCCAAAGACAGCCACTTTCCGATGCCGGTCTGGACGTACAGGGCCTTCCCCTCGGCCACCAGCGCAGACAAGACTTCCACGTGATCCACCGCGGAGCCTTCCTCCTCCGGCTGCGTCCGAGCCCGATGGCTGGCTTGGATGGCCTCGATGGCGTTCTGCAGATGCTCCTTCGCGGCTTCTACCTGATGACGAGCCACGTCTCCCTTCGGAAAGGCTTCCAAAATGCACTCACATGCTTCTTCAGCTCGACACACTCCTCACTCTTGTTGATGATCTCCCTGGTGAATCCAGAATCATCACCCTCCTCCGGAGGCAGGGTCGCTCGGAGTATCTCCTCAGCCGTCTTCAACGTCAGATGCTTTCGCCTAGACCTTCGGCTCTGCAGTAGGGTGAGCCATTGGTCGGCCTCGAACGCCGCCCGTTGTGTTGTCTCGGACCACGGGAAATCTATCGCTAGATGGCTGCGTTGGCCGACGTGCTTGCGGAGGGCGGCGAGGGAAAGGTCGCCCTCTGGGAGCTTCAGCATAGCCTCGAGGCCTCGCTCCCACTCCTCAACACTCCTGGCCGCTCCGAGCACGCCCGAAATGAATCCAACCTAACGACAATGAAATTGGCGAAGGCAGGAAGACGGAGCGAAGTTGCTACTTGATCGAGGAAGTTCATGCTGACCAAACTCATGAGATCCTCGTCGGCTTTGAGATCCTTTATGTACACCTCAACCTCGCTACGGCCGGGCTTCGGAGCATCCGGCAGTGGGCTCTCATTCTCGTCCCAATGGAAGAGCTCCCGGGCCCTCTTTTGCCACTCGGCCAGGCGAGTGACCAACGGCCGTAGTGTCCTGAGAGCGAATTAATGAGCCGAGGGCCATACGGGGAGGCCTACTTCTCGAAGGTCACCGTTGTACACGGGCAGTCATCGACGTTCTTGAGGAGGTCCAGCAGGTCTGTGAACAGCGAACTGTCCACTCCCGACCGCTCAGCAACCTCTTGTGACGCGTTGTGGTCGGCCTCCATGCGAGTTAGGAGATCTGATGATCGGCGTTCCAGCTCGGAGTTGGTCCTCTGTACAGCCCTGACGGTCTCCAGGGGCCCGTCAAGGCGTAGCAAAGTGGCGGTGCAGACTTCGAGGACCTTCTCGACCTCCGCCCAGAAGGCAGCGGGTCGGCTGGCGGCGTTCCTGACAGTATCACGTAGTACTACTTTCCAGTCATCTCTCGACTGTACTCGGTCACGTGCTCCGCTCCGCTAAGAATCGCCCTCATTATCATGATGACGTCCCATTCACCACCGATGGTCTTCGCGGTGCTTCCCGCTCGGTCACGGACGCGGGTCGGGTTACTAGGGTACCGATTGGGCCACTCGAACGACCAGGAAGGGAGGGATGACGAAAGGTGCTCACTAGCCTGAACGAGGAGGGTCTCTCGCTGCCAGGCAGACGAGGCCTACCTGGCGAATTGCGACTAAAGTCTCGTCCGGAGGGCAGCCGCCGTCCTCCAGTCGACTGATCTCTTCCCGCGGGGCCACTAAGGCCTTGAGCGCGAAGGGAAAGTCCTCGTACAGCTCCTCTAACGTAGAAGTCTTCATAGGCAGCTGATAAGGAGGAGCGAGTGAACAGCGGTTCGACGACGGTTGGTGAGCGACTCACCCCTGCCCCTTCGGCAACTATGCTGCGGACCTTGCAGGCCCAGACCTCCTCCTTGGCAGCTCCCCACAAGGAGCTGCAAGTACTCCCTAGGGTGGGCCCCAGCGATGCCGCCCGCCAGAAACTTCGACAGTAGCGACACCAGCCTCTTGAGGACACCGTGCGGACGAGGAAACTGACATCACCCGAGAACTCAGCTTTCAGGTGTCCAACAGCGTGCAGTACCTGAGCCTCCTGAACGTCATTCATAACTTTCCCTCGCCACTTTCGGGTCTTGTCGATGACACTTTGCACGTCCTTCTCAAGGTTGATGTCCCTGAGTGAGAGGCCCTGCACCCTCTCACTCAAGGCCTCGAACTCCTCGAGGCCAGGCAGCTCATCCATCCGCGGCTTCACTTCATCGTTGTACCGATCCAAGACCTTGGTCAGCTCCCCCAGAAGGGCCTCGTCGTCGTTTTCCGAGGGCGTGCTCGGAGCTTCCTTCTTCCGTCGCTTGGG